TGACTGTTAAGTTTAATGTTTTCTCAAAATGTGTTGTTTAACAGGCTGAGTTTATCCCTGTGTCTGGATCCTCTCGGTTCATGGCACTTCAGTTCCACAGTCACATTTCTAATACAACAAATACATGTCTCTGATGCTCCTGAAGACTTCCTCTGTCATGTAACTAGGGCTCATTTAGTGTTTACAGTACAGATATGAGGCTGTGGAATTGAAGTGACATGGGGAGAGAAAAAGGGAATTCAGAAACTCCGCTAAACTCAATTTGAATCATTTAGAACAAATACGAAGAGTATTTTAGAAAAACAATGTTGATCAGTGGGTTGGTGTTATATACACACAGAGGTAGATTCACAGCTCATTCATCTTTTGGTTGCTTTTTAACCCAAAAAGGAGCTCAGCTCTGCCCAAAATCTTACGTTTTTTCTTATAAAGTTGTGTTTTTGAAGCTCATGAACTGCATTTTTTTTCAGAACCTCTTGTGGAAACTGGGTATGTTTCTGATAAAGAGGTGAGTTCGAGTAAATCTGGGATATTTCAGATGTATTCATGTTTGAAAAACCAGCTGATATCAATACTAACCTGTTCTCACTTCCTGCAGACTAACCAACTGGAGATCAGAGAGGTGGACAGAGGGAGCAGTTCTCCTCCTGCAGAAACATCCACCATTTACTCCTACGTCAAACCAAACGGAGTCGAATCCACAGACGAGTACAGCTTAGTCACTGCAGCCACTGCTCAGAAGGAAGTAAGTCAGAAGTGTGGGAGGGGTTTAGGTTTTCAGCTACACACACCCTAAATACACTTGAGAGGTTTTAATTAACAGGTGATGGGTTAGATTTGATCACACTTGACCAAAGCCATCTCTCTATCTCACTAAAAGACGACAGACGATATGAGAAATTAAAGTGTTTTTTATTGTACAGCAGAGGACATATTTTAAATGAAACACATTTGGTTTTAAACTAACTTAATCTACTTACATCTATGAACAATGTGTTCATCAAGAGATAAAAGTAACAGAAAACAGAAAGAGGAACCAGGCCAGGTCATATCTCAATACCATGCTCAATACACAAGCTTCCGTTGATCTTAACAGGAAGTCCTCGGACTGAATGTGGAGGTGTGAAGGGGGGGAGGAGGAAAAAGTGCTGTATAACATTTTCGGGTTGATAAAGCAAAAATAGATTTGTACATAAAACCAAAAACATAAGCAGTACACATCCTGAAATGATGATCATGTGACAAATAACGATTTATTTGTTTTCTTGCAGACTAAAGATGACCTGGATAATCTCAACTACTCAGAGGTGGATTTCTCAAAAAGTGGCGCTGCCCCGCTCCACAGCGCCCCCTATGGCTACACAGATAACGTCCTCTACTCTGTTCCTCGGGTAGCACAGAGCTCCGACGTTAGCCATGCAGAAGACACTTCACCTCCTCTTTACTCCACTGTTTCTTTACATCCGCTGTAGCTTCAAATCTGTCCTTTCCAAATGTACTTTCTCAGTGACCGACAGGTGAACACAAAGCTGTGTAATTACGCATTTAAAATGTATCTGGTAAATAACTTAAAGGTCTCCTATCATGCAAAATGCACTTTTTAATGTCCTTTAGGGAACTCACAAAGTGTCAGAAAATGAAACCCTCTCTCTTTTCCTCTGTACCCACATCTCTAAAAACGGGGGCACAACGGAGCTGATCCAGATGTGCGTCTGATATGATGTAATATCTGAAATGTGGACCCACGGCCCTATCCGAAACGTTACTATCAGAAAAAATGCACGACGTGTTTTGGACGTAAAATGATCTTTGTTTACATTAGCAAGCACGGCTAACACTCAGAGCTAACGCTACTGGAGAGAGTATGTGTAAAAAAGCAGGAAATAAAAAAAGGAACTCACCTTGCGGTAAACCCGCAAGAAAGAAAGCATTTGAGCTCCATACTGTTTCAGAGATAATCCTTGATGTGGTTTGGAACATGATGGCGTTTAATCACAGGAGCTTTTCTTCTGAGCAGGCATTAGCTCCCCCTCCTCTTTTTTTTTTTTTCAAGCTAAGGACCCCGAATCAGCGTTTCTCTCACAGCTGAAACAGAGGGATATGAGGGATGTCTAAAATGCATGATCTGTTTGATGTTTTGAGCAAAACACATCATAGACATGTTTCTTATATATTTGTATAAATCTGAGATCCATAATATATGCCTAAAAATAGCATGATAGGAGATCTTTAAAAATAACTAAAGTTATTAGAGTTTTGATTTTTTTTAAACCCAAACGCTGTGAAAAAAGTAAATGTATTTATTTTTAATAAGTGAATGTGTTTCTCTGCACCTGAAGACTTTTGCATATTTTGTTACTGCAGTCAAATGTTGTATTTATTCTGTCTTTTTCATATTTATTGTGTTTAGTTGATAGCTCCGAGCATTTGATGAAAACTGTCAATTTCAAAATGTCCTGTCCATAGCATTTACACATGAATATATAAATGTATATTTTGTTGAAGCTTAGAAAACCTGTAGATTAAATTAAATAAAATGGACACTCTGGACTCAATGATGGCAAAGTGGTTATTATGACAGCTATACAAATATACTTGTACACACATATGAAATGATTACTGCATTAAGTTACAACCAAGTCCAGTTTTAATGTAAATCCACACTTGAACATAATGGCATGAGAAAGTAGAGTTCAGAGTGTTTGGAGGAGGACTCTCATCATTTAGAGAAGTAAAGCAGTTCCTGAAGACAGAACAGAAGCAGCGGTAAACCATCAGAGACTGAAACATGAACGTCCGGCACACTTTGATCTGCTTCCTCCTCCTCAGTGAGTATTTCTATCAGTCTCTCTTTTGTTTTACTGTTATTGAGCTTTATTTTCTTTATTTAATAATAATCAGTCATCTAAAATGTTCACTGCATTGTCTTGTCATCATCCCGAGTCAGTCCAACCACATGTTGGTTTCTGTAGTTAAATATGATGCTCAGAGTTAGTACGAGTGCCTTTTTTTAAATGCAGATTATTACAGGTATCAGTTATATCCTCAAATAAAAGCAATTGTTAATTTGCAGTCAACTATTGTTCTTTTGGTTTTATAGTTGCCTTTTCTGTTGAAGAGCCAAGTAATTTTTCTGTGGCTTCAGCCCGAATAACCAACTTTGTGATAAAAATATTAGTTCACTTTATTTGAAGCAGCTAAAGAGGAAGAACTGCAGCAGTACACATCTTTTAGCGGTCTGTTCACAAACTGAGAGCTGTTGTTTTATAAATGCATTTTAAGCATTTCACATATTTCATCACAATAAAAACTTTTTAAAGTTTCTAATGAGCATTAAACAGTCTATTTTGTTAAAGATCTCTTCTGCTTTTTAAGTTTGATCTTATATATTCATATTTCTGTTGGATTGAGTTATAACAGACTGGCTGAACTGGGCAGCTCCCAGTAGGATCAATGCATGATGAATGTAACTGTGAAATCAGACTGCAGTGTATTACAGGAATAAAGTTACTATTGACCGAACATCTTTCCAACAGCACTGAGGGATGGAAACAGTGGGCTCACCAACGCACAAAACCTCGACCGTACAGAAACTGAAGGAGGAAACATCTCAGTTAGATGCTCCTTTACTCTCAGTGGAGGAAGGAAGCTCTTCTGTAAGGGAAAATGTGAAGAAGGAAACATTCTGGTAGAAACGACTGGAGACTCAGCTCATAGAGGCCGATACAGCATCAGATATGTGGAAGGATCTTTTCCAGCACGTGATATAGTTCTGTATGTGAGCATCACAAAGCTGACCAAGTCTGACGCAGGACGGTACCAATGTGGTCTGGTCCGAACTGCACTTCTCCCTGACTCACACCAGGACTTTGAGATCAGAGTTACAGATGGTGAGTTTCTCCCGGGAGTTTTGATTTATCTGTTCACTGACACCTGCTGATGTTTCAAATAAAGCAATATGTTCAATGTAACAATTATATTTCGAGCAGCTCCTTTTTATAAAACACATCCGAATTACCGTCTTCATTTAACGGAATAATTCGATTTATTTGTTTAGTATTTCCCTTTGTTTCACAGCTCCAACCTCTTCAAAACCAGAAGTGACTCTCCGACCGTTTTCAACATCAGCCTCCCCACTGACCACCACTCAGAGTCTGAGCTCCGTACCTTCCTCAGCCTCCCCTGAACGCACCACGCAGCCTCCACAGGGACAGACAGCTTCAGATGGTCACGGTACTTTTATTTTGTTGTTGTTGTTTATGGACCAGGAAGTGTCAGAGTAAACAAAGTGTTCTTCTGCTCTCAGGTGTGGTGCTGTATGTGCGTCTGACTCTGGTCGTCATGTTCCTCGTACTCTCAGCGTCTGTGCTGATATTCTGCAGGAAGAGGGCCAGGAAAGGTGAGGCGACATGAAACCCACGGACATATAAAAAACTAAAATATAACCTTTTCCAACTAATGTGACCACCTGGCTCAAAAACTCTCCATATTTCTAGATAATGTCCCCTGGTTTATCCACAAAATAAGAACTATTTACATTTAAATGATTTACTTTTACTTAAATACACTTCAGTGCTATTTTATCAACTCAATATGCCTCTAAATCTAAAGAAATCTGAAAAACGGCTTGTCGTTGTTTTCGTTTGGTCTAAATTATTATACTTGACTGTTTAACTTAATTTTTTCTCAAAATTGTTTGTTTAAACTGAGTTTATCCCCAGTGTTTACCGATGTTTCCTTTCTGTTCATGGCACTTCAGTTCCACAGTTACATCTCTGTGTTGCTCCTGAACACATCATTAGTCATGCAACCATTGACATTAGGTGTTGTATTGAGATGTATGAGCAGTTAAAATAATTTGATCTCATATCCCTTACCTGCGTTGTCTACAGATCCTCCTGTGGAACCTGAGTATGGTGTTGACACTGAGGTAAGATGGACATTTATCATGGAAATTTCAGATATACTATATTTTCTGAAACCAGCTCATAACAAAACAAATCTGTTCTCACTTCCTGCAGGCTAACCAAGTTTATGAAAACGTCAGAGGGAGCGGTTCTCCACCTGTAGGCCTACTAATATCTACCAATTACTCCTACGCCAAATATACCAAACCAAACCGAGTCGAAACCACCGACGAGTACAGCTTCGTCACTGCAGCCACTTCTCAGAAGAAAGTACGTGTGGGAGGGTTTTAGGTGGTAAGCCTCACACATTTTAGAGGTTATAATTAATAGGTGATGGTTTCGATTTGTTCACAAGCTGTTTCTGCACATCAAACACAAATACAGCAGTTGAAAAATATGAATTGACATTTTTGTTTGTATTACGCTTTATGACATGGCCTTAGACAAACGGAAAATGTTATTTCATTGTTAAGAAGAGGAAGTATTTCTGCAGTGGCAAGAAAGAGAAGATTGGGGACATTTGCTTAAAGATGTGTTTTCAAACAAACTTATACCTCAAACTTTTCATATTTAAAAGGAAAAGCAGGTTTTACAAAAAAAATAAACAAAGAAAGATCTATGTGTACTTTTAAATCAAGACAGAAGAGTACCATGAAACAGAAACAGGATCCAGTTTGTGATCAAACCCCAAGCCTCAAGCTTCCGTTGGTTTGAACAGGAAGTCCTCGGACTGAACGTGAAGGTGTGAGGGGATGTACAGAAATACAGATAGTTTCCATGAAACAATATAGATGTGCAGGTAAAGACTGAATACATGAAGCATTACACATCCTGGAAATATGCTCACAAAACATGTCGGTAAACTAAAAAACAAGCTCAAGTGATAAAGTATACTTTGTTTTCTTGCAGACTAAAGATGACCCGATTAATCTCAACTACTCTGAGGTGGATTCTTCTAACAGTGGCGCTGCCTCGCTCCACAGCGCCCCCTGTGGTGACGCAGATAACATCCTCTCTGCTCCTCGGGGTGGAAGCGCGCTC